AACAGGAAGCAGGACACTAAGCACGGAAACCGCAGCGGCTGGGAAGAGCTGAGGAAGATGAAATCATTATTCGTAGACCACTGATTCAGCAGTGGGGGTTTGAGCGCTTACGTTGTGCCACCCACGTTCTGGAGGATTACTGAAGATTGACACATGGGGCTGAGAGAGGAGATTAGGGCATGGTAACCTGGCTGGACACCTGAGCAAGGCCAGCCAGTCGCGGGGACCTGATGCCAACCTGATACCAACCTCCTGGCACGATAGCAGGCAGCTTGTGATGAGATGGCCTCGATCTGACGTCAGAGCAGACAGAAAAGACAGTGGCCGCGCAGCTGCAGTGCTGCGAACCTCTCTACCATTCCACCTCTCACCCTGCAGGGCGCAGCGCTTCTCTTTGCCTGGGCCACACTCACTTCGCAGCGCCCTTCCTTGCAGGGCACTTCTCTTTCCTTTTCTTTTTCTTTTGCCCTAAACAAACATTGAATCTTCACATTCCTCAGTCATCACATCCTTTAAATGGGACAGTAAGGGCTGGACAGGACAGTGCCGGTGACTGCAGTTCCCGGTGACCAGCGACACACCTGGCCGCTGCAGCCCCTTCTCCTAGAACCGCCCTGCTCGCAGCCATGGTGATACCAGCAATGTTCAGCTCCTCACCTGGGCTATACTTGCTTAGCTCAGGGTGTGCTAAGACCCAACCCAAACCACTATGCCCCCCTCCCAGGGAACCAAAGCACAGCTCCACGGGACCGAGGAAGGTGGAGCCACGTGGAAAAGAAGTGGGCCATCACTGTGTGTTTCGTGGAAACTGTGCAGCCACTACAGCCACGTGGCGTATTGGCAGGGTCTGGATGAAGGTCGGGAGCTTCTGCCGCTGCAAGCCAGGAGTCTGGTTCCTGGGTTTTGAGAAGCCCCACACTTCAGCTTTTGCTTGGATTCAGTTATATCTGAACCTTAAAACAGCTTTTGAAGTGAGCTGACTTAGGTCACGTAGAAGTTCAATACTGTTCCCCCAAATTTATGTCTACGTGGAGTCTAAGAATGTCACCTGGTTCGGAAAAAGGGTCTCTGCAGATATAAGTGGTTAACATAAGGCCATACTGAGTGGAGTGGCACTGAACTCATGACTGATGTCCTTAGAAGAGGACACAGGCCCAGGGGGATAGCCTATGGATGTGCAGACAGTGATCAGAGCTGAGTAGCCACGAGACAAGGAACACTGTGGCTGGGGCTGCTGGAAAAGGTAGAGGTCACTACCCCAGCACTGGGCAGAGGGCAGCCCTGTCAACTCCTTGCCCTCAGGCTTCTGGCTTCCACTGTGTGGCTGCAAAGGACTTTGTGACACTTTGTTGCCGCAGTCCAGGAAGTTCATACCACAAGGCTTCACTCCTCCCAGGTCAAGGAGTCACTGCTAGGATGCATTTGCAATGACAGATGACAGAATCTGTACCGACTCCAAATAGGGCCCATGGTGCAACAGCGAACCCAAGGATCTTCCGATGGGCCATTAGAGGACACAAACCATTTCCCAAGCCATTTCTTCAGTTATGGGAAAAGGCCATGCAAATTTGTGGGGTGTTACTTTTGTGTACCACTAGGCATCCACCAACCAAGATAATAAGGGTTACCAAGATTTAGTTTTTTGTTTTGTTTTGTTTTGTTTTGTTTTTTGAGACAGTGTAGTACAAGCTGGCCTTAAACTCAGCTCTGTAGCCTACACTGGGCTTGACTCTCAGGGATCTTCCTGCCTTAGCCTCCCAACTGCTGAGATTACGGGGTGCACCACTACACCTGGTTAAACTTTAGAATCTGTAAATTAAAACAGGTGCACTTATGAACAGGCATATCGGGAATTCATCACTTATGTGTCCAAGAGCACAAAGAGGTCACTAATCCACACCTAAGGTAGGCTGCGTTCCTGCTTTGGGATGGCGATGCTCATAGTGCCGTTCCCAGGGACCTCATGGCTTTTAACTGCTGTTATTCTTATTCTTCCTTCTTAATTACTAACTGTGTTTGGCTTTATAACTACACAATGTGCATGAAAATAATACTAACTTAGTACAGTGATACAATTCATAATAAGAGGGCTCCTAGAAAAACCAGTAAGAGAGTGAGGAGGAAGAGAGGCTGGGAAAGGGAGGGGGCCAAGCCAGCATATTCCAGGAGAATAGGGGGTCCAGCATGATCCCCTAGGGAACTCCAAAATATCCTCAAAATGGAGAGAAATGAACTGAGCTTTTGGGGTGGGGATATAGCTTAACAGCAAAGCACCTGCCTGGCCAACGCAAGGTCCTGGGTTCAATTCCTAGTAATAAATAAATAACTGGGCTTTTGCATTGGCCATGGTGGTAGGGAAGGGCAAGGGGTCCCAGCACACAGGTACCGCTGGGTTCCAGTGACCCAGAGCAAACCCGGATCTGCCCTCAGAAAGAAATGCTCACAGTACAGTGACTACACCCAGTGACAGGAGCTGGACATCCTTTTCATGTCCCCTTGGCCTGCCCTACATCTCCCCACATGCTCGGTCCTCTTTCCATCTGCAGAGACCCACCTCCCTGCTCCCTGGGCGGGGCCTCCTCTGTAAGAGATTAGGCTCATGCCCGCCCACGCCCCTACCTGCTCACAGTATCACAGGGTATTGGGTGTCCGCCTAGAACTGTGGGAGCAGCACAATCAGACCCTAGAACCCCTTCATCTGTTCTCCACTTCTATACTTTCATTATTTCAAGAAGGCTATACAGGGGCCTGGCCTTAGCTCAGTTGTTTAAGTGGCTGCTTCCACAAAGCTGTCAGCCTTGTGGAACCCTTATGGGCTGGTGAGATGGCTCAGTGGTCTGAAGCACCTACTTAGAACAAGCTTGGCAAAGCACAGGGACCGCGGTTCAATCCCCCAGCACCACATGCCAGCCAGCCCCGCCCCCTGGTGGGCTGAGCTGACCACACACACACACACACACACACACACACACACACAAATATAAATAAATTTTTTCTAAAAAGGCTATACAAATAGTTATGCCACGTGTAAACTTCAGGGCTGGCGCTTTTCCACTCTGAACAATTCCAAGAGATTGATTCAAGCGCGTCTCAAGCAGTTCCTTGCACTCCTCGGAGGTATTCTGTAATGTGGGCGTACCACGGCGTCTTTCACTCTGTATCTGTGAAAGGACCTCTGGTTGCAGGCTTGGGATTGCGATACGCAAAGCTGCCATGAACATTCCTGTACAAGGTTTCATTTTTCTGTGATCAGTTCCCAGGAGTACACCTGCTGGGTTTGCTGTTAGTGGCATAGTTTTTGTTTTTAAACGAACTTAGGCCAGGGACTGCTGGGTGTATAGGGTCTCACTACAAAGATTCTCCTGTTTTCAGCCTCCCAAGCCCTGGGATTACAGGGTGCACCACCACACCCAGCCAATTGCCGGCTCAGCACGCCCCAGGGGCAGGGCCCACATGACACGCCTGGGATCGAACGCCAGCTGTTGTGATCTGCCAAAGGAGGCGCTTTAGTCCACTGAGCTATCTGGCCAGCCCTGGCATGTTTTATTTAAAAATAAACTGCCAACTTGTTTTCTAGAACAGCTGCACTACCCCACATTCCCATCTTAAATATGCAGTCTACGGTCTCCCCGTCTAGCCAGAACTTGGTAAGGTTTTTACTTCTTGTCTTATCCTTCCTGGTAGTGTGTAGTGACACCTTGCTCTGGCTTTAATGTGCATTTTCCAACTGCATAATAATGCTGCATGTGGTTTTATGTACCTGTTTGCCACCTGTTTATCTTCCTCAATGGAATGCCTGCTCGTTTTCGCCCGTGTTCTAATCGGATTTGCTATTGACTCGTCTCACCCTGGTCTTCAGTGCCTGCGTGTGGTCCTGCAGCGCTGCACTTTCTCCCAGCTTGTAGCTTACCTCTCATCCTTTGGGAAGTTTCACAGAGCAAAAACTCCCACTTCTGATTGAGGACAGTGTATCACTTTCCCCTTAATCATGCTATCTCTGAACTCCTTCCTAGACATGATTGTCTCTGTACAAAATACCAAGGAATCAACCAAAAAAGTTCTACCAAAGCAAAACCAAAACCAAAACCAAAGAAACACTAAAAAAAAAAAAAGTGAACCAATAAAATTGATAATCAACTTTATCAAAGTTCAGAGGACGCAAGAAAACCATTAGTATGTCTATATACGGTGTTGAATATTTTCTGCCATGTTATTTCTAAAAGCCCTGTAAGTTTACGCCTCACACTTAAGTCCATAATCTAGGTACCTTCATGTTTGTATCAGGCGTGCAGCTTGTTATTTTGCTTACAAATGTTTGGTTGCTCCAGCATTATTTATTGAAAGGCTGTGTGCTTCACCCATTGCTGTTTGAGTCCTCGTAAAAATTGGCTGGACATAATTGGGCGGTTCTGTCACCTCTGTTCTGCTCCCCTGACCTGTGTGCTCTTCCTCGAGCGAAGCTCCAGTCCTGATGGCTGCAGCTGTGAAGTCTTGCTATCAGGTAGACTGATTGTTCCCACTTTGCTCTTTCACACAATTGTTTCTAGTTCCTTTGCTTGCGACAAAAAGCCTTGCTGGCACTGTGATGGGACGCACATTAAGTATATTGTTGGAGAGAACAGCCATGTTTACCTATTATGTTAGTCTTCAAAAACATTCAGTGTCTCTACATTTATTTAAATCTGTATCGCTATTCAGCATTCTATAGCTTTCTGCATACATACTGTACATATTGCTAGATTTATGTATATATATATATTTCCTTTTGTGAACAACTGTAGTTACTTAAATAATTAATCAATTAAGTAATTAATGTGCTTTTGAAGTTTTGATGTTTTTGTTGTCTTTGGAGTCTCGTGTTCATTGTTAGTATATAAAGATACAAATGAATGTTTACCTTGTGTCCGATGAGCTTCGATAAACTTGCTTAATTCTAGGAGCACTATTGTGTGATTGTGTTTCTTTTTGGTGAGCTTTTTTTTTTTTTGTTTTTTTTTTTTTTTTTTGGTAGACTCCTTGGTATTTTGTACAGACAATCATGTCATGTGCACATAGGAACACTTGTTTATTTCTCTCTGCTGTCTTCCCGTATGGACTAGACTTTCCAGTACGAAGGAAACCAAGAAAAGAGACAGCGACAGCCTTGTCCTGTACTGGATGGGCTATTTTCCCTTCCACTTTCTATCTGCCTCCAGCCCCAGGAGGTGACCATCCAGGGACTCCCTCGCTTGGTCTTCAAGTTCCCTGAGCCAGCAGTGGGTCCAGCAGATCGGAGAGAGCCACCTCTGCCGTGTCATCAGGGCTGGCCACATCCCAGCGCCAGGCCACAGCTCCGTGAGGCAGCCCCAGCTCTCCAGTTCCTGTGCGTGCTCCCGGGGAAGGTCAGGCACCCGGCACTGCCTTGTCCTGTGGTCTCCCTGTACTCTGCCCACACCTGCAGTTGCTCCTTCATTGACATCTCCTCAAATTACCCGATTTAGGGGGTCGTGTGTTTCCTGCCAGGACTTTGATATCCTACTGATGATAAAATTTCCAAATCCCAAACACCACACCTACATTGTCAGTTGTCACAAAGTGATCAGTGTTTATTTTTTCTTTTAAAAAGTGATGTACCGGTATTTATAGGCAAATGGATTTCTACCTGAAAACAGATGAAGATGAGAAGGTGAGGTTAAAATAGCCTAAGGACATTCCTTCGTTGCTCTGCACTGTTCTCACGAGCCAGCGGTGTCTGGGTGCAGCGCTACTACCTAAGCTACCTGACTGCAGGAGTCCTCTCCGCCTCAGCGCACTGCCCACACCATGCACCACCACGCACCACGGCCACAGCCGGCCACGTCTGCACCCAGGACTCCCCGCCGATCCACCAGTGATCCTCCTGCCCAGCCCGGCCCAGCCCAGCCCACCGCCCACCCTGTCTCTGCTGCAGAAGGTTAATGTCGCACATTTCTATTACCTCTACCCTAGCTGAGTCCCTTCATGAGCTAAAGTGACCAAGAACTAAGTTATTAGAAAACAGGTAAGAAAGGCACTATTTCCTAGTTGTATGAAAGGAGGCAAAACTAGCTAATATGAACAGCAGCCAGAGATAAAATCTGAAGCCTTTCCACAAAATAGTAGAGCTCGGTGTGTCAGTGCCTAGATGACTTCTATTCCAAAACAAATCGATAATCACAAACATTAGCTGCACTGCGTAACCAAATGAAATGAGTTTAGGCATTTATCAGGACGAAACAAAGGTGCAAACAAAACAAAACTTGCCCTGCAGTCATAGCCTTATCTCCACATGCAGTGGCCAGGACACCTGTATTATTCCATAGTTTCTGAAAGGCTTTGATGTCCTTTATGCCATTTATCCTTACGGTATAAACACAGACTAAAGAAAAACGCTCATGTACAGACAGCTTAGCGGTCCTGACGTCAAATGAAAAGCTTGCGTATTGTAGGCGGGCACGGGCTATCTCCAGAGTGAAGTGGAGCTCAGGGCTCACCCGCTCCAGCTCTCTCATTTTATAGACCAGAAAACCGGAACCCAGAGAGGCCTGGTGGCTGGCTGAAGGTCGCAGAGATGTGCCCCGGCACAGCGCTTCTCCCCACACAGTGCCTGCTGTGCTTATCGTCTGCACACTGGCCCACCTGCAGCAGACCCCGCCAGCACCCTCCCATCCAGTGTGTTCCCTCTCTTCTGCAGCAGTTTGTCTGATCATGGCTAGGAAAGGTCCTAGGTCACATGGAGACATTGAGACTGTGATTTGGAGGCAGCCAATCCAAAGAGACATTCCCCACACTTTCCACTATATTTTGTGCTTCCAATTAGGACAGTTCCAGTTTGGATACTGAGTAAGAACACTGATTTTGTCTGGAATTTTTCTATAAACCTAGGTTCTCAGGGGCCTTGTGGCAAGGGCCTGGGAGAAAAGGATGAACACAGAAATGGCTGGCAGAGCTGGTCGCTTCCAGATGTCACTGACTGTACAAGCAGCCCACATAGCAGAGACGGAGACATCAGGCCAAAGAGCATGGGCTCCAGCCCTTTAACCAAAAAGTGGACAGAGCCATGAAGCAGCCTATCCTTTCAGTGGCTTCACCTCCACCGGCACAGAGACAGTCTGAATTCAGCGGCATGTTTATTTTTAACATTGCAGTCAAAAATGCTACTAAACAGAAAGTATAATAAGTAAACTGCTTGATTTCTTAGTAAGGAAGAACTCCATTTTTGGCAAATGGTTCTGTAGTTATAGAACGTGAAGACACTTGGAGCTAACCTCCCCCCTAGGAAAATGCCCCAAGTTATCAAGGTGAAAGGCACGTACAACTGCCCCAGCAGTTCAGGTTGTCTTTAGCATGTGAAATTTTAATTGTGCTTTTTAGCTTGTTATTAATACAGTGTGACTTTAGAAAGTGACATCCGTGCATATGTAGTTTCTTTTCAAATGGATCAACCCTCCTCCTTTTTTTTTTCTGATTTGCATTTTCTGAAGACATTTTGTTAGTTCTTTGCTTTATAAAAGATCTAGTTATTAGAGTCTTTGAAAGTTGCACTTCACAATTCGTGCTCTGCGGAATCTAGGAACGAAGCCGGAGTTATCTTTATGCCCTCAGATAAAACAGAGCTCCTCGAAATAGCACTGGGAAGGGGCTCCAACGCCGTCACTTCTTGGAGTGCAAAAGTCCAGGATTATTATCTTTTCTCACTGGTTGTTTAAGGGTTACCTCGCTTCCAGAAGAGATGATTGGCAAACTGTTATCCATGTGGTATTTGATGAGGTGGCCGACACTGTCAAACACATGATCCTTGGTCCTCACCTTGAAATGGAAGTATAAATACACTGAAGTTAGACAACAGCAATTCTTCGGAAAGGAGGAAACAATCAGAGGGGGAAACCAGACATGTCCAGAAAGAAGATATTCTGATGACTAAAGAAAAGTTTCTTTTCAACACTGTATTCTTTAGTAAATAATTTTCTCATTCTCTACCTTCCTATCCTCTTACAGCAACTATCCTTAGAAGTCGGGATTATGATGAATACCTGTCGGTCAATGCAAACTTGCATTGTCATTGTTTAATATCTTGCATCATGTCTCCATTTCTGTAAGTATTTAACTGTCTCCCCTATACAGTCTGAGATTCAGGATTACAGTATTCTTTTTTTTTTTTTTCTGGTACTGGGGATTGAACTCAGGACCTTGTGCTTGCCAGGCAGGCACTTATTTACTGGGCTATCTCCCTGGCCCCAATTCTAGTAGTCTTCCATCAGGCAGAGGCAGTCCTCCCAAGCTTCCCCTTGTCTACGGGAAGCTCCCCCTCTGGAGAAGCCTCTCCTGTCCTCCAAGACACATGGTTGGACTCCTCTCATAGGAACTCTTGTCTCTTTCCTGCTGCCTTCAGATACGGGCACTCATTCATAAATATTTATTGCACAGAACTTACTATCTGCACGCCCAGGAACTCACTGTCCCAGGCCAGACCTCCCACCGTGAACCTCCCCCCTGGTGTTATGCACCCCTACCCTGCGCACAGGCAGAGGCATGTCCTGTTATCCATCCCAGCTCGCCGCCTTGGAAGCCTGGCAGCCTGTGCTCTTGTTCAGAGAGGAACCAGGGACCGTGCAGAGATGGGAATCATGTAGCTGGGAAGCTCCTTGGGATGTAATTCTGCTGTTTCTACAAGGAATCTTCCAGTTCTGTCTAGGTACTGGGTCTTGGTCTAAAAATATAGACTTACTGCAATAAATGACAGAATTTTAATATGAACTCAGAATTAGATAATGGTATTGCAGTGATATAAAATTTCTCCCTAGTCTTAGCAAACACGTGCTCTTAGACAGAGAAGAAAAGGGCAGAGCAACTTTAGCTATAATGCCTGCAAACCTCGCCGGAGTTCTTGTCTCTTCCATCTCATCCCCTCTACAGCCCGATTCTGCTGACCAATGCTGCCAGACTCCACTTTAGTTCCTTTACGTCTCCTCTGTTTTCCTGCTTCCACTCCGTGTGTGTGGGCACAGAGGTGGGACATTCACTGGGGCTGAATCCAGAGCCTTCACACTAGGTTATGGCCCTTTGAACATTGATTGATTGGCTGATTGATTGATTGATTGATTGACCTAGACAGGGTCTCACTAAGTTGCTAAGTTGAATCCAGGCTGTGTTCAAATTTGCCATCCCCCTGCCTCGGTCTCCCAGATTGCATGCTCCCCACGCAAGCTGTCTGCTGCCTCTATTCTGATTCAAACTTTCTCTGCTGTTGACCTAGAAGCCCCTACGTACTTCCTCCGTGTCTGGTCTCCCCACCCAGTCAACCCATACACAAATATCAAATTAATCTTCCTAGTACAGAGATTGTAAACTGGCCGCTCTCTGGCCAAACACCGAGATGTTATAGTTAGGAGTTAGATAGAGGTCCCCATAGAGGGCGCTAAGTGTTTTGAATTGAAAATGGGGAGAGTTCATGTAATATTTTAATTATGTGTGGCTTCTTTGGAAGAATCAGCTCTGGCCCACAGGCCTGTCCTGGGCATGGCCGCCAAGGCACAATGCACCTGGGCACAGCCCACCACACCCTGTGCTTTTCCTGGCTACCTCATTACCTGTACCGGCCACCTGGCCTGTATCTCCACCCACACGGGCTTTTCAAAAAACTGTGATGAAAAGCCAACCAGGCCTCCGAGAGTCCAGTACCGTATTGCCAGCTGAAGCACGAAGCTGTGGGGCGCGTCCCTGGAACTGCCTAGCGCAGCTCTAGCTGCCCCATGGAGCACCCCTCCCCCAGGCCCCAGCACCCACCAGTCGGGCCCCAGCACCCACCAGCCCACTGCCTGTCTCCAAGTGAGACTGCGGTGGGCACCTCACAGATGCAGCCCGCAGTGTTTGTCCTTCTGGGACGGCTCTCTCGGCTTCACTCAGTGCTCTCAGGGTCCTTGAGGGCAACAGCTCGTGCCGAGAGCCCCTTCTTCCTGGGTCTCAGTGGCGGCCCAGTGCGTGTGCACACGGCATTTTCTTTCTCATCGTTAGCTGATGCACCTTAAAGTCCCACTTTCCTATCTTTGCTTTCGTGGCTTACACCTTTGGGGATCTGATCTAAGACATCACTGCCAAAACCAACCTTCTAAAGCTTTCCCCCTAGGTTTTCTCCTAGGAGTGCGCTGGAGTTGTTCGTTACAGAAAATAAGGGTCCAATTTCATACTTCTGCATCCATTTGTTGACATTACCCTTTACTCTTTGTACAGTCATGACACTTTTTGAAGATCATTTCTGGGCTATACACACTGTTCTATTGTCTATCTTCCTGCCAATACCATACTGTTTTGATTAATGTACTTTGTAATATGTTTAGAAATATGAAATGATTTTCCTAATTTCTTTCTCTCTCCCTCTCTTGGGATAGTTTGTCATTGGTATATAGAACCTGATGTGTTATTGTACATCAGTTTTGTATTTCCTGCAATTTTATTGATTTGTCAATGCTAACAATTTTTTTTGTTCAGTCTTTCAGATTTTCTACATGTAAGGTCATGTCATTGTCAGAGAAATGTTTCATGTGATGTGAATCATCTAGATCCAGTGCATTCACTGGGTAAATCTGGCTACTTACTATTTCTCAGAAGCTGAGAGCTGGCTACCCCTACCTTGGGAAAGAGATGTTATACAGAGATAGCTTTGAGTGCACAGCCATCTGCAAACCAAATTTCTGGCTGATTTGGATTTTTTTTCCTTGCCTAGTTGCTTTGGATAATTCTTGTAGTACTATGTTGACAAGAAGTGGTGAGAATGGGCATTATTATCTTGACCCTGATATTTGAGTAGAAGATTTCAATTTTTACCATGGAGTATGTTGTCAGTTGTGAGAGTCTGATCTACACCTTTATTACATTCAGTCAACTTTTTTCTACTTCTAGATTTTTTTATTCTTTCTATAATGAAAGTACTGGATTTTGTCAAGTGCTTTTTCTGTACCATACTCTCTGCTCAATAGATTCAGAAAAAGCATTTGACAAAAGCCAGGACTTTCATTATTGTTCCTTTTGTGTAGTGTCTTTCTTTGGTTTGGAATCAGAAATTATACTGGCCTCTTCAAATGAGAGTAACCATTGCTTTCCCAAGTTGTTTTGAAGTGCTTGTGAAGGACTGGTCATAGTTCTCTAATTAGTCGATGCGGTTCACCAATGAATGTACCATTATTGGCATATGTTTTATTACTGATTCAATCCTGTTAGAAGTTTAGGAATATTCAGATTTTCTGTTTCCTCATCATTTGATCTTGTTAGCTGTATCTTTGTAGGAATTTATCCATTTCTTCTAGGTTATCCAATTTGTTGGCATGTAGCTGTGCATGGCGGTCTCGTAATCCTTTTAATCGTGTAGCTCCATTATACACTAGCATTTCCTTGCATTTTCAGTCTCATTTGTCTTCTCCTTTTGCTTGGTTATCTTAGCCAAAGGGTTACCAATTTTCATGATGTCTTCAACAACAACTTCTTTTTTTTTTCCGTTACATTTTTACTCTATTCCATTTACTCTTCCCTGCTGTGACATGCCTACCATCTAAGCAACCCTTGGGGACCCATTTGGCTAAAGGCTTGGTGCTCAGGGTGCCTTCGCAGGAGATGGGGTAGAGCCTCTGGGGGGTGACGCACAGAGAAGTCCCCAGGGCACCGACAGCACGCCCTCAGAAGCTACTCTCAGAGGCCTCCTTGGCCGCTCTCACAACCAGACTGCTGTAAGGCCTGGCTTTGGCCCCACCCTCCTCTCTCTGCCCCCAGATTGAGAAGGGTTACTGGTTTGACCCTCATGTGGCCCCCATGTCATGGAGTGACAGAGCCAAGGGGCAGTCATCACCATGCCTCGTCGGCATCCAGCCTCCAGCCTGAGCTACACAGACTTTTCTCCTTATAAGTCAGCTGCCGTGGGACTTCAGGCCTAGTAATGCAACACTAATACCTTCTCTAATCTTAATTATTACCTGCCTTTTGCTAAATTTGTGCTTAGTTCCTCTTCGGGGGTATAAAGTTCAATTATTTGAGATCCCCTTTCTTTTTATTAGATATTAATCACTAAAACTTCCCTCTTATTAAGGCCTTTGCAGACATCTAAAGAATTTTGATACATAATGCTTTCATTTGTCTTAAGATATTTTGTCATTTTCCTTTTAGCTTCTTGGAGCTACTGGATATGGAAGAGTGTCACTTAAATTCCAACTATGTGGAAGTACTAATTTTGATTCCACCATTAGTCTTAGCTCTAGTTTGTTGCTGTGTGGTACGATTTCAATCTTCAGTTTGTTCAACTTGTCGGCGTGTGGCACGGCTTCAGTCTGCCTCCTCTTGCTCTGAAGATGGCTCTTGGAGCATTCGATCTGTAGTCTGGCTCAAGTTCCCTGTTTTCTCATTCACCTCCTGTCTGATAGTCTATCCTTTAGCGACAAGGACACTCACATCCCCTGAGCGATTGTGCTGCTTTCTATTTCTCGCTTTAGTCTTACGAATGTTTGTTTCATATGGGTGCTCAGCTCTTGGCATTCATGTACATTAATTTTATCTTCCTGAGGGATGGATCCTTCTACCGTTATGTCATGTCCTTCTTTCCTTTGGGGGAATATTTTTACTTAAAAATCTACATTGTCTGATATGAGCGCGGCCACCCTGCTCTCTGGTCACCATCACTTGTGTGGAATACCTTTTTCTGTCCTTTCAGTTGCAGCCCATATGGTAGCTCCATTTAAAACTAGTCACTTGGATAGCACACAGTGGCATCTTTTTTAAAATCCATTCTGCCACTCCATCCTTTTTTTAAACAAATAAATTTTATTTATTTATTTATTTATTTATTTATTTATTTGGCACAGGGTCTCCCTACACAGCTGGAACGTGTAGTGCTCCTCCTGTTATAGCCTCCCCAGTGCTGGGATTGTTGGCATGCGCCACCATGCCAACTTTTGGTGGCTAGCACAGCGTACCCATGTGTGGGGCTGGCGTGGCATGTGGTACAGGCAATCAACCCTGGGTCCTTGTGCTTGCCAGGCAGATACTTAGACCACCAAGCTAACTTTCCAGCCCTGTCACTCTGTCACTTGATGGGAAAACTTAATCTATTTACATTTAAAGAATTTTTTACTAGGAAAGAAATAGTTTTTATTTTGTTAATTGTTTTCTATCTATATTACAATTTTTTTCCTCTCTTGCTGTCTTCCTTTGTGTTTCATTGATTCTTATTTTTTGGGGTGGTGATGAGTATTGATTCCTTTGTGAATCTTCTGCAGTGATTTTATGTGTAGTTACCACGGGCTAACATAAAGCATTTTATAATAACCTACTTTTAGCTGATCACAACTTAGCTGTAATGCCACACCAACAGCCTCTATTTGTACTCCACACACACAACTTTACGTTATTGATTTTGAAAGTTATACCTTTGCATACTAAAACCTGCTTTACTTTTGTCTTTTAGCTTCTATTCCAGAATCATGTCACGTGACCAGCATTGTCCCAGTGTCACCTTCTCCTCTGTCTGTATGTTTGCCTTCACCAGTGAGCTGCATACTCTCGTATACACTCACGTTACTGTTTACCTCTTTTTATTTCATCTTGAAGGGCTCTCGTTAGCGTTTCTGTAAAGCATATTAACGGTCATGAACTTCAGTTTTTGTTTATCCCAGAAAGTCTTCATTCAGCCCTCATTGTTAAATGATAGTAGATACAGTATCCTGGTTGACAGGTTTTTCTTCCTTCAGCATTTTCTTTCTTTCTTTCTTTCTTTCTTTCTTTCTTTCTTTCTTTCTTTCTTTCTTCTTTTTTTCTTTTCTTTTTGCAGAACCAGGGATTGAACTCAGGCCCTAGCACTTGCCAGGGAAGTGCTTACTCTACTGAGCCATCTCCCGGGCCCCTCCTGCAGCATTTTGAATATACCAAGTCCCTGATGGCACTGCAGAAGGTGTGATAAACCACCGACAGCCGGAGGAGTGTCTCCTTGCCCAGACTGTCTTCTCTTCTCTTCCTGCCTTCAGATCCTACCCTTGGCTTCTGATGTCGATGTGCCTCGTCGACGTGCCTCCTTGCCTGTTTCTTTGGATTCCTCATGCTTGGTGTCTACTGAGCTTCGTGAATCCAGTATCTATTCTTTCTCCAGACGCCACTGATAGGGGATGTCATTTCTCTGGGCCTGTGTGTTCCGTTTCTCAATTAGAGACTGGCCGGGTGTCCGGAAGCTTGTAACCGCTCGCTCGCTTGTGTCTTTCTCTGGCACCTAAGTTCTTGGCCTCTACAGCAGCAAAAACCTCACTCTTTGGCAGCCACTGGACACCCGTGCCGTGCAGACTTCCCGGCAGCTCCGCAGTAAGGCAAGTTTCCTGGCCACTGTGATGCCCAGAGCACCCTTCCCCTCCTGGGGAGAAGCCTCGCTCGCTGCCTGGCTCCTAGGGCCCTGAGCAAGGCCAGGTGCAGCCAGCTAGCAGGGCCCTTTTCTCTTCCCAACAGCTCCCAGCCCCCAAATGATACTGGTTCCATGACCATTCTGTGTGCGCCGTGCCCAAGCAGTCCCCCAACCACCCTCAGAAAATGTGGACCTGGGGATACATGCTCCAATCTGCTCTGCCCCTCTAGGAAAAGGCCCTGTGCCAGGTTGTCCTTTCATGCGCTAAGCTGTGCTGCTGTAGGTGAAGTGAGATCACTCTTCTTACCACATTCCCCATGAGGGCCTCAGCTTTATGCCACCTGGGGTGCACAACTTCTCAGCTGGGTTCTGGAATTCTCATAAAGATATATGGGGCCCCAGAGAACTGTTAAATCGGTCTCTGTTGGGCAAGGAGGGCTAGCATGGTCTCTTCTGATGTCATCACTGGAACTTCCTCTTGCTCATGTCATGATTTATGTAAGGATATACGTAAGGATTTTATCATTCCCCTTCCAAAACTGCCAAGATTACCAGGCCTACAGACTCAGCGTTTGGTCTCTATTATCCCCCCATCATGGTGCCCTCCTACCTTCCCAGGATCCTTATCTGTTGTCTAAGGTATTCTGGGCCCTGGCCGTATATCTCCGGTTGACTGATTGCCATCCTATTATTTGGCCTGCTCCTATGGCTCCTTCCTTAGACGCCACGATCCCTTTTGAAATTCTCTTCCAGGGCTTATCTTAATGTCAGACCCTACCCAGAACAATCTCCCTATCCTGATAAAACCCATAAGGCTCTGGTTGAACCATCCTTATCTCACTCTGCCTTGTAGTATAACTGCTTAAGCACCTGCTCTAAGCATGCTGTGAGCAAGAACCATTTAACTGATGTGAGCAAGAGTCAGAAGTGAGTCCCTGTCCTACCATGAGGCAGGTATTCGTCTCATCATGCAGCTGCCCTGAGGACAGGAAGCCTCTGTCCTCTAACTGCTCCCCAGGGTGGCCTCCTACTTGAACCCTTCCCTTAGCTTTTCCTTAGCACTCCCTGCTCCAGCTGGAAGGTTCAAGAAAAAATAACCGCATAGCCTTGAATACCACTCAATATCAGGCTTTGGACGCCATTCAGAGAAACCGGAGCAGAACAACATCCTGTGGAGTGGAAGGAGGGGTCCACAGTACCTTGCCTTCGGGGTCCACCAGGAGAAGGTGTTTTGCCTGGCCGCCCTGGAGTCCACTCAGTACATACTGGCCAGGGGATGTTGCACTTTCTCGAACCAGAAAGTCCCCGTCCTTCACCAGCAGGCGCTCGGCTGCCTTCCTGCTCAGCTGGCCGTGGTAGCAGCCCTCACTCCACAGCTGCTGCCTCACGTGCGGCACAGAATGAGAGCTGGCGGGTGGGGCTGCGGCGCCTGGCTGGACAGTCTCCGGGGCCTCTGACGTCAGAACACAAAGAGACACCACCGCGTCACCTCCTCGCCCACCCTTCCCTGCATTCACTCAGCAAACAGAACCGAGGTCCTCCTGTGTGCCAGGCTCTGCTGAACTGCCTTGATGGGCACACAGAGGAGGGCCTGTTTTCACTCATAATTTAATTAATGATCGATCCAAACATTGCCTTTGGCTTCTGTCACCCCAAAGGCAGACCCAGGCATAGTTTTCCTTCAGATGAGAGATGGAATCAACTCGTGAGCTGCTTCTACGCCTGCACAGAAAGGCTCCTTATGGCCTTGAGGCTGCTAGAGAAAGAGGAGGAAGCTTACGCTGGGCCTGGATTGCAGAAACCTTCCACAAACAGGAACAGGAACTTTGGATTAAATTTAGCATTTAGCTTTCTTATTATGCTCCTAGGGATTGAGCCCAGGGCCTGCATACTGAGCTGCACCCCCAACTCTTCATATATTTTTTCATTCTGAGCCAGGCTCTCACTAAATTGCTAAGGCTGAGCTCAAACGTGTGATCCTCCTGCCTTGGCCTCTGAGACTTCAGTACTAACAATTATTATAAATGTGCACCATCATGCCGGCCCCTCCCTTTTTAAACTAGTTTACAAATTCCTGTTGTGCTTCTAGGGATTCCTTAACCAAAACCTTTGAAGCTTGCTAAACCGCCTAGCGCTCCCACTAAAGGACCTGTCTATTGCCTATTCACCTACCTGGATAAAACTGAGTTAAGGAGGAGAAAGGAAGCACAGGCCAGTGAGGCCCAGCCTAAGCCATGCCCAGGCCTTGTAGAGCAAGTGTTGTTCAGAGTCAAGAGATCTGGGAAGGGGCGAGCACAGCAGTGCACAGGACCACTGACAGGGCTAAGGATCATCACGGAACTGCCATGTAGTGTCACAGGCACTGCTAAGAGCTACACATACTTCATGTGACCTTACTTTCAAAATCAGACAGGCCTAATAACGCTCTTCAGCAAGGTTAAGCCACTCACTTACAGTCCCTTGGCTAATATGTTGTAGATCTGGGATTAGAAAGAAGGGGCAACTGACCGCAAAGCCCAGACTTTAATCTGGATATGAAACTACTTCCATTTTGCAGAACTCACCTCACCTTCACCTCTGTAGTGTCTGCAATGGCCCCCAGTAGATGGCAGGGCCAACAGATTGAGGAGCAGCATCTCCAGAGGAACAGCATAAATGTCAGGGAAAACTTGAGAGGAATTCACCAGGAAATAACCGTAACAACGAGCTTTGTGTTTTATCTGCAAAGGCCATTTTGCTTAGAAACTAATCTTTTATTAATGCAAAGGAATATTTACATCCTTATGCTACACTCTCAGCATTGAGAAGTTCAGCTGGCGCGTTCGGTTCCCGGCTTGCAGAGACCCACTCCACGGAGTCGCTGGTAGGCAGGCAGGGCCCTGTGGACAGGACACAGTTCTCCCGTGACTATGCTACAGCTTCGCCCCTGCGTAAGAACTGCCTTCTGCATAACACAGTTATGATGCAGCAGTCTGAAGTCGCTTTTTAAAATATCTTGAAGTGTACTGACTGGAAATAATTTTCCTTCACGAATAATAAAATGTTCCTATTGTTGCCAGAAAAAGCCTAATGAAATGTGTCTAGACTTGATGAACGATGTTGTAGTTGGCCTTGGTGCGGCCCACTTTCAGATGTAATGAAGCACTTCTAAGGAAAGGCTGTGTGTACGTGTGGGACGTGACACGTGTGTGTGTGAGGCCATGCCTGTGTGCATATGTGTTGGCACGTGCATCCTAGTGTGTGATGGATTTTGATTTATCCTGAGATTATGGTGCAGGGCTTTTGGACAAGGACAAAACAAAAGAGAAGTAGACATTATATCATCTCAAAAAAAGGCAACAGCTCATGGGCGGCCGGCCAGAGGACGTGGACAATGTCTTCCTGACACAGGTTCCCAAATTAGCACCAGGACAAGACCTGCGGTGCCGGGAAGGTTCATTCGCTCCAACACAGGCTGAAAATCGAGTTCTGCTGACAGCAGAATATGCGACTTTTTTTTAATCTTAAAAATTATACTTGTTACTTTTTTTAAATCTGGGAAGATGAAAAACAAAGAAAATTATGTATGGTGACTTCACTGAATATAATCCCTCTTAATACTGTGGTACATTGTCCATTACCTTGCAACTTTTTTACAGAATTGGCTCTGAGAATGATAATCATAATCTAACTATAGTTACTACACCATTTCTATAGAACATTTAGTTAATTGTTGGCTTCCGTTATTTTCTTAGAAGAAGCATTAAAAGCTAACGCGTGTCACTCTAGGTTTCAGTGAAACTTTCCACCCCATAAAAGGTGACAGGAATCATGGAAGAAGGTCAGCACGTCATCTTGGAGTTCCTGTTAGCAAAGTATGCTGAACACATACTGTTCACAATCATGCTTCAAAAAGGAGCAGGATGGACGTGGCTATCCACACCTATCCACACCCACACCACTCTGCCGGAAAATCGAAACAGGAGAAAAAAGCTCAAGGATGAAAAATATATCCAAAAAAATATATCTAAAAATCTGGATTGAACAACTATAAGTAATTTCAGTGAGAAAGAAGGAACGAGCCATTCAAAAAAACTAGTACGATCTAGAAATATGGCACATGGCAAATTTGATTTTTAAAAAGTAGTATGGACCACTGTACTGATCAAAGTAGCACGGATCATTATACTAGCAAAGGACAGGAAAACCTTAAATCTGTACTCATAAGAGACTGGTGATTTCCATTATGATGCATTGACAAAATAGAATACCACAGAGTAGCTGACAGAGTGGCCATGTGCTCATGCAGATAACTAAGACAGAAGACTGAAGCAAGAAGGTATAAAAGGGAGTTATCAGGGTTTTCATTGCATTTTTAAAGGAGATGGAGAGGTGGATAAATAGTCCTTAATGTGCAGTACCATTCTGCAGTTAACAGAAAAAGTTATTAGTGACTAGGGACATGGCTACAGTGTGAGGGCACGGAAAGGGATTTTTTAGTCTATTCATTTCACGCTATTTCTTATGTGAATTTCTTCTGTAAGCATCTACATGTGTGACTTTTGAACTGAGAACTAGAAATCTATCTATAGACCAGTCGTGGTGGAGCACAACTATAATCCTAGAATCTGAGGCAGGAAGACAGTGAACTCAAGGCCAACCTAGGCAACTTCCTGACTTAGCAAGCCCTGTCCCCAAACTAAAAATAAAAACAGGCTGTGGGCATAATTCAGTGAAAAGACCCTTGGCTCAATTCCCAGTAGCAAGTTGCAGTAACCACATAATTCAAGATACGATCAGAAAGACACAAAGACACATCAGGGTTGGGGACTCTGCTCAGTTTTCTGAAACCTACCTTCATCCTCTCATACGAGGACTCCATTTCCAATGGGAAGGAACTGTAAGGACTGTCGCTGCTGGTTATCTGTAGGCGTTACATTTTATAAGTTGCCACAAACACTAACCCAGTGAAAACTATGCTACTCTTCCTAAGAGAAATACAGGATTCCAGGAAGGCTGAGTCAAAACATGTTCATCAATCACGTTTATGTCTAAAGTTACCCGCATATATTAACACTGAATTCACAGTCCAGCAACACTCATCCGTAGCGCGTGTGTCCTCTGGACAGCCCCCCACCATCCCCCAGCACACAGGAGATGGCTCTCCAGTGCTATGCTTGGGGACATTTTAAACAGTGAAATCACCAGCAAGTGGCACAAAAACATAAAAAAGCATGACATTAACTAGGCCACAAAAGGACACTTGCGGCCAACTTGAGAACCGGAGCAAGACAGCAGAGCTTCTCCCCGCCTGAGCTCCGCTGGGTCGTGGGCATTAGAGGGCTGGAAGCGCTCATTGCTCTACGCATGCCCGTAGCTGGCACAGGAGCACTCAGAGTCCTGGTTTTGGAGTTGCAGTTACATTTGAGTGAGTAGGCGGGATCTCAAATACGAAATCCGTGGCTACTGAGAACCGACGGTGCACAGGTCATTACTATGGTTGGTTGGGTGTGTGAAAACTGTGTAACAGAAATTTTTGCATGAAAATTATAAAATACAAATTTCTTTTATTATTGAGATGAAAAATCCAGGTATCCCCATAAAGTGTCTAAAAACTGATAGAAAAATGTTGACATAAAACATTAAAGTGTAAGGTTGAAACAGTACCTAGAGAAAATTATTTGTAATCTGAAGGAAGAAGGGACAGTTTTGTACATGGTCATTAGTACACTGGGGTCCAACAGCTATGCAGAGGGAAAAACATACGGAGAAGCCCAGGAAGATATAACAGGAAGATCCCAGAATAAATAATGGTATTAGAAAAAGTAGATTATTTACGCAATAGTGTTCGGAAAGTTGAATCCTGTGAGTAAAATTAAGCTAAAATACAAAGGGTCAAGTGAAGTACACATTTTATGGTGGAAATAAAATATAAGGTTTATAGAATAAGATGTCATAGAATAAGATGGATAAAGAAGAGAGCACTGATTCTGAAGAGTACAAGTAATTCACAATAAAGATGGAAATGGAGAGCGTGACCTGGCGGCGGAAGATGGCAGAGGGCGGCGGTGCAGAGAGGGATGAAGCAGAGTACAGGTCTTCCAGGCCGCGGCCTCCGAGCACGAGGGATTTGCAGACGGCCCTTGAAGAATTATATCAAGAGGAAGTGCAGTGCAAATCCTCCAAGTTGGACAAACACTGCAGTCTTTAAAAGCCCACAAATACCACCTCTACGATTCTGTTCAGGTGAACATACATACAGCAGATTAGGTATAGTTCGATCTTCAACTGGGAAAACTGTGAATGAACTTTTCTAAGAAGCACAAGAGCATGGGGCTCCCTTTGAGTGACGCCACAAGATCATCAAGCGATGATAACTCAAAGTCATTTACAGGTGGCAGATATAGACTGGGTAATTGCTTTTGCAAATGATCTGAATATGTATATGGAGAAAATCAGCTGCAAGATGTTCAG